AGAGGATTAAGTAAAATAACACTGGCATGAACCCAGCACATTGTAAATGCTCCATCACCCTAGCCATTGTGATTCATAACTAAAGGTCGCCATTGATCTGCAATGCCCCTACTCTCTAGCTACTGCTCCTGGGCCGATGCAAAGTCACAGTGACTGTACGGCAGCGTGAAGCTGCTCCGCGGGGCTTCCTCTGACTGTACAGTAATCCTTACAGCGGCTGATGAGCACTTCTTTCTCCCACGCGGCAGCTGGTGGGGCTGCCCAGTTAGCAGCCCCACCCTGACCCCCACTGTGCCGCTAGGGCTGCTTTTGACTGAAAGGAATACAAAGCCGACAAAAACAAATCTGTCCTGGATGAAGCACGGACAGAGTGCTCCATCGAGGCCAGGATGGGGAGACGTGGTCTGACGTCCTTTAGACACGTTGTCAGGACAGCCCAGTCCTCGGAGAAGGGCATCGTGGGCGGTAAAGGAAAGGCACGTCCCCAAGGAGCTGGAGTAATGCTGTAGCAATGGGCTCAGGCGTGGGAATCATTGTGAGGGTGGTGCCGGGATGGGCGGTGTTTCATTCTGTGGCGCACAAGGGTGCTGTGGGTTGGAGCCCACTGGATGGCACCTGACAACCAAGCCAATACTTTCACGAACGGGCACAGTTGGTAGACGGCTGTCGGGAGTGGTGAGGAGTGACGAGCTAGAAAACGTATGGTTATTGTTAAAGTCCAATTTGGATAAAAACCAGAGTCAAGCACATTTGTGGACAGAACCCCCTTAGGACTCCTGAGTTAACCCAGTAGAGTAAGGCAAGATTTTATTTGTGCATTTAGCAGATGTTTGTGGAGGACTTGCTATGCGCCTGGCACTGTTCTCAAACTCAAACTGACTGCCATCCACTCAATTCTGACTCTTAGCAACCCCGAAGAAGGGGGTAGAACTGCCACTTATGGGGTTCCGAGGCTGTAGATCTGGAATGGAGTAGAAATCCTCATCTTTCTCCCACGCAGCTGCTGCTGGTTTCCAACTGCTGACTTTGCAGTTAGCAACCAGTGCGTGACTCGCTACGCCACCAGGACACTGTTCTAGTCCCTGGAAATAAGCCGGTGAACACAGGAAGTCTAAACCCTGCCCTCGGCTTGGCGGGGAGGAAGGCACACAGGGAGAAGGTTCATCAGACCCCTGAGGAGGAGCCTTTGAGTGGAGAGCAGAAGGATGGGATGAGCCAGCTGAGTGACGTCTGGGGAAGAGTCTCGGGCAGCGGGGAAAGCACGTGCAAAGGCCCTGTGGCAGCAACAAGCCTAGAACACTTCAGAAACAGCTAGGAGGCCAGGGTCACCAGACCAAGTTGAGCCAGGGAGGAGGGGGAGTGGGGGAGGTCCAAGAGGTGTGGGATGGGGTGAAGAGGGCAAGTCATAGCCTCTTTCCGGAAGGAATTGAGTTTTCTTCTGAGTGTGATGGGAAGCTATTGGGTGGTTTGAAGCAGCGAAGCTGTTTGCCTCGGGGAAGCGCTAGCTCCATTTCCTTCCCTGTTTGGCAGAACGACTGGGAATAGAGAGCCATCTAAATCTCCCTTCCCGTCTCAGTTCTGGGGGACAGGGGTGGAAGTGTGTGATCACTTGTTTCCAAGTCTCCGGGGCTTGGGAAGTGATTGATATCTGGCAAGGCTCCAGCCAGAGGCACAAATGCCCGGGGGACCCCTGTGTTCCGTCTCCTGGCGCTGCCCTAACAAATGGCCACCCAACGTGGTGGTTTGAAACAACAGGCGTTTCTTTCACAATTCTGGGGCCAGAAGTCTGAAATCAAGGTGGCCCGCTCAAAGGCGTCCTCCAAAGTCTCTAGGGAGCAGCCTTTCCTTGCCTCTTCGTGGCTTCCAGGGGCTCCAGAGGACCTTGGCTGGTGGGCACGGCTCTCCGGTCTCTGCCTGCGGCTTCACAGGGCCTGATCCTGCACAGGCACACCTCACTTTCCGTCTCCCTCCCCGACAACTGCGGTTGCTCACACGTTGAAGGTGGGTGGTGGCCCGGGTGGAACAAGTCTATCGGCGTTATCCTGACCACAGCGTGTGCCCACTGCATGTCTCTCACACCCGGGTCACCCTCACAGTGTTTCAGACCTTTTTCACACCGTGTAGTGTAAACGTCACTTAAATGCCCTGGGAATGGGGAACTCTCCCAGGTGCGCTCTTCGGACACAGAGCATGCACTGCCTCTGAGCTGTGCTTGCGTTTCCTTCTCCTCTCCTTCGGTCCTTGTCATTAGATTGAGGGCCCAGCTGCGTAGTCCAGGCTGATCTCATCCAGAGACCCTTCATTTGATTACACCTACAAAGGCCCTGTTTGTAAGGACACTGTCACCAGGATGAACCATAGGCATATCTTTTGAGGGCCTCTATTAAACCCACTTGAAGGAGCCCCGGCAGCACCATGGGTTAGGCATCAGACTGCTAACCCAAAGTTGAAGGTTCAAATCCCCCAGCGGCTCCGCAGGAGAAAGATGAGGCTGTATGCTCCCGTAAAGGCTTGTAGTCCCAGAAACCTTATAAAGGGTCGTCATGGGTTGGAATGGACTCATGGCAGTGGGTTTGGGTTTTGGGTTTTTCACTCATCAAGGAACCCTGGTGGTGCAGTGGGTTAAGCAGTGGGCTACTAACCACAAGGTCACTTTGAAACCCATCAGCCTCTCTGCGAGAGAGATGAGGCATTGTGCTGCCATGAAGGTTGACAGCCTCCGAGCAGAAAGCAAATGGTTTGAGAACGATGATGGCAGCATATGCACAAATGTGCTTGACACACTGGATGGGTGGATTGCGCTAAGAGCTGTACGAGCCCCCAATACAATGATTTAATAATAATAATTTTTTTTTAAAGGTTGACAGCCTCAGAAACCATACGTATAGGGCAGACCTACTACGCCCTATAGGATGCCTATGAGTCAGCCATCAACTCTATGGCTGTGGGGTTTGGTTTGGGTTTTATTAAGCTCAATGCAGACCCTCAGAGGTGAAAGACAAACAGAAAACAACTATGATGGCTACGGAAGGACATGAGACAGGATTTCTTTCCATTTTACCTTAAATACACCCGGTATTTAAGGTAAATGATGCACCAAGCCTTTCCGTGTTCTTGAGTACATACTGTGTGTGCTACACCACAGTGGTGGTGCTAAGGACTCAGCATTGAGCAAGACAGGCTGGCTTTGCCCTGATGGGCATACAGCCGAGCATCGTGAACCTGAACACAGTAGGAGCCCCACACATTTCCTTCTTGCCTTCCCAAGCACCTTCTCTACTGTGAACTCCATTGAGAAACGGGCATCGGCATGAAAGAAGCCATGCACTTGGTGGTCTACAGTTCTGTTCTCATAACATACTGTCCATGGATGTGAGCTCCTGGACATGGGTTAGAAGTCTGAGAGATCCCAGAGGGCTGTAGTCGAGGTGTGGCTTGGCTGGTGGTTATCCTTGCGTCAGGCTGGGCAGTGGGTTCTGAGAGGGAAGGGTGAATTCCAGCACAGTAGTTTTCAGGGATAAACTTGCCCAGGGGGTTGACGTGACCAAATTTCAATAAGCAACAAACAATTCTTGGGAATGTTCCAAACAAAACAAAGTTTAATCTATCCTCAATTTACATGGTGGTAGCTTTCAAAGAAAAAAAAGCAGTGTCTATTAATACCCTGACATTTCTAAGTTGTTCTGTTTATATGTAAAAACAGAATTAGCTTCTAGGCTCAGATACCTTGTAACGCTAACCTTAGGAATGGTCAATGAGACTTGGAACTTGGGGTGAGTCGCTGTGGGGGCCGCCACCCATGGTGCACGGCAGGAGGGCTGGCATCTCTGGTTCCTGCCCACAATGCTAGTAGCACCTCCCATCTAGTCCCCTGGGTCCCCAAGATGTGCTCCTCCAGGAATGGAGGATGAGGTGCCCTCCAGTGATGGGGCCATAGAGCACCCTGCCAGCTCCCTTCAAGCCAGGGAATGCAGGTGCTCTTCAAACATTGAGATATGGGTATCTGTAGTATTAAATTAAAAAAATTAAATGACGCTGAAGGAGGGTGAGGGGACCAGCCCCCACCCGCTACTAGAACTCACTGGTTCAGTAATACTACTTCTGGGTTCAGTAATGCACAATTGTACAGTTGAGATATATAAGCATTATATTAAAGTCATCGAGAGCATGAGAGATAATACAATAATACAGTCAGGCATGATACATAGCAACATTGCTCACCTCAGCCCAGCTTGGTGGTCCACGTGGAGAGGGGGGAAGGGAAGGAGGGAAAGGGAACAAGGGAGAGGGGAGTGACCAGGGAGTGAGCAGCAAGGAGCTCAGAGTCAGAGAGAGATCTATAGTGCTGGCTCACACCTATATACCTTTTGGGGGCAAGCCAGCCCACTAATTACAGGTAGAGACATACGTCACAGGGAAGGGTTGCACTATAGGCTACACAGCAATGAGAGGGTGGTCTAGGGGGTGGTCTCTGGGTCTCCATAGGAACATTATCAGTAGGGTGTAAACCCCACCTAGAGGAACCAAGCTAATGGTCCCAAAGCTTCAGAGAGACGTAGGCCATTGTCCCCAGCAGCAGGGAGCAGGCCCAGCCCTGCTGTGGGATGAGACAGCAGTCTGGCAGCAAGTGTCTGACTTCTCCCCACAGGTATCCTCAAGGGATGGGGAAATCAAGTACTCTCAAGGGATAGGTATGCAGGGTGCCTGCAGGATTTGGGGTGCAAGAACTCTCTAGGTAGGGATAAGGGTGTGGGGACCCCGTGCAAGGATGGGAATAGAGTGTTCTCCAGGGATGGGGTGGTAGTTGCCCTGGGGGGATGAGACTGCAGGATGCTCTCCAGAGATGTAGAAGGGGGCATGGGGTGGAAGTGTGGGGGCTTCCTTGCAGGGATGGGGTGCAGGGGCACCCTATTGTGAACCACCCAGCAGGTCATGCGGGGCACATAGCTGTGCAGTCAGGTCTCCTGCCCCACCTCTCACCTCCACCCTTGCCGTTGCAGGCTCCATGCAGGTGATGAACAAGACGCGGCGCATTATGGAGCAGGGCGGGGCTCACTTTATCAACGCTTTCGTGACCACGCCCATGTGCTGCCCCTCGCGCTCCTCCATCCTCACCGGGAAGTACGTCCACAACCACAACACCTACACCAACAACGAGAACTGCTCCTCGCCCTCCTGGCAGGCACAGCACGAGAGCCGCACCTTTGCCGTGTACCTCAACAGCACGGGCTACCGGACAGGTAAGGGGACGGGGCGGGGCTGCGGCAGAGGGCGTGGCCGGCGGGAGCCTCCCCTTCTCAGGGACCCACAGGATGATGTGCGAGGTGGCACACAGCTATGGGCAAATTTCCTTTTTGTGTAAAGGTGTATGTATGCACTGATTCCTATAGTTCTTCAGCTCCTAATTGTGAATTCTGTGAAGATGTGTCCATCTGTAGTTGAAGAAAATCCGGGGTGTTTGCCTGTTACAAGCCTCAGCGGAGCCACCCCCGCGCACGCAGCGCAACAAACACTGCGCAGCTACTGCCCAATCCTGTGCCATCCTCCCGATCCTTCCAGGGATCAGACTGGTGATCTCTTGTGCTCCTGTTGGCTGGTTGTCAGAAGTAGATCTCCAGGCCTTTCTTCCTCGTCTGTAACCCCCACCACACACACACACACACACACACACACACACACACACACACACTTCCATCCATTCAGAGCCACGTCTTTCAGCGGGTTCTCCAAAAAAACAATGCTCCGCCATCGAGGGGATGCTGATTCACAGAGACCCTAAAGGACAGAGGAGAACTGCCCCCTGGGGGGTTCTGAGATGGTAACTCTTCACGGGACTAGAAAGTCTCTTCTTTCTCCAAGGAGTGACTAGGGGGCTCTCAAACTGCTGACAGCCCAACTGGTAACCACTACATCACCAGGGACCCCATAGGGTTCTCAGTGGCCATGGAGACCCCTTCCTGGTTTACCATTGTGACAGAAAATGGCCCTCTGAGCGGAGCTTGAGTTCAGACAACATAAAATGAGCCCTTTTAAGGTATGAATAGTTCGGAGTGACGGTAAGCTTTAAGTTATTAAACACCTGGGCTACTTTACTGGTGCCAGACCATGAGCATGGAAGAAGATTCTGGAAGAACACTGACATGCAAGCGAAGAGTTAAAATGGATGTGGAGAAGGAAGAGGGGCCTAAGTGGGGACTTGTGGCCACTCCCTACATGGTGATGACGGGGGTGCCAAAGTCAACATGGCCTCATGGGGGCAGCTGACAGCCCATACTGACCCCACGTGCCCCACCTTCGGCCAGTGTCGGGGTGTTGCATCCTGGGTAGAGAGCCAGCCCGGCTTCCTGTTGGTTTATCTGGCAGGAGCTGCTCTGGTGGCTGGTGGGGACTCACCTGCGAGCCGGCGGCCAAGGCAGAGGAGTGGTTACCGCTCATTCGCTGATCCCCTCCACTGTTTCACCAGGCTCCAAACTCAATTCATTGCATTTGCTTTAATTAAAAATAAATAAATACTCCCCACCTTGGATGAGGAGCTGAGGCGGTTGTGAAATCAGATATTGGGGCTCAGATGTCACAAGGCCAGGAAGTTGTGTCTGTGGTACAAGGGGCTGTGTGGAAGACAGTGACATGGGGGGATGGGGGTAGGTGCCTCTGGTCCCCAGGGTCTCCTATAAGTGTAAATGATATAAATAGACCGTCCATCACGGGTCGTTCCTGGCCATCACAGGGGGTTGCTCTGATGCCTCTCTTGAAAGTAGGTTCTGATAGAAGTCAGATCTCTTTTGGGTTTTGTTTGGTTTTAGTTTTAATTAATCTTGCCATAGCCTGCTGAGTGGCGTTGTTTCAAACGACAAAACATGACACTGAGCATCTTCAGTGAGCATCCTAAAAACGACAGCATCTGTCAATTGCGTGCTGCAGCGTTGCATGTGGTGCGTGTTCCTGACGATAGAAACTCGAAGTCAAACTCACAGCCATGGAGTCGATGCCGGCTCGTCGTTGCCCTGTAGCACAGGGTAGAACTGCCCCCGTGGGTGCCCGAGACTGTGACTCTTAGTGGCTTCGAACCGCCACCCTTTCCGGTCACCGCCCGATGCGTAACCACTGTGCCACCAGGCTGGACAGTCTTAAATGCAATCGTAAGTGCCGTCTGTCACGACGTGGCTACATGGAATGCATCGTTAAGTTGGGAACGTGATAGTCGCGTTTCACAGTAAAATCATGGAGGGCATGTTCACCCAACTGTTGGAGGATTGAGTCCATATTCCCAAGGGCCTCTCAGCCCTTTGACATCCACCTTGCACCCCCTGAACTGCTTATGGCCTCACGTCCATTCCATTGGCCTTCTTCCATTATTGTTTGCCAGTGGATTCGCAGCTGATCTGTGCTGTCCTCCCCCCCCCTTGAATGGGGTTCATAAACCCCTCAGTATCGTCAACTGCATCTGCAGCCTCCACCCTTCATGTTTCTGTTTTGCGGGCCCCGGGTTACCACACATTTGCAGTAGCGATCGGCAAAGGATGGAGCGAGCGCTGCTGAGTTCAAGCAGAATCACCATCCATCCGTTGATGAATGCTTGTGTTTCCGCTTCTCCTCACTTCTGGGACTTGGGTCTCAAACAGAGAGACCCTTGAGAGGCTACATTGCATCCTTCGTTTTTAAGAAACAGATTAGGCATCCATTAGTACTCTTGAGCAGTTGAACCCTCTGCTACCCTGACCCTGGTCACGTCCGCGTCCACACGTCAAAGTTTGAGTGGTCGAGTTTCTGGAAACAGACTCCTCTCCGCTCTGCTTGGTGGGTGAGCGCGTGGGCCTTGTGCCTAGGCTCTGGCACTTCCTGAGCACCTGAACCGTGACTTAATGTCTGCGTCCTGGTTATTTGGAAAACAGGGAGTTGTCAACTCACGGGGCTTTAGGGAGGACTCCACATGTCAGAGTAGTGGTTGGCACACGGTAAGCACTGAAAGACATGTGAGTGATGACGGCGACATCACACAACCCAGCTCAGGCCAGTGTCACCACGTATTTACCGCAGATGGCGAAAACAAGTCTGCATCAGTCACAATGTGGCCAGGCATGCTTTAAGCTCTGCGGTAATCAGTGGGATGCCGACTAAGCCCACCAGGCATTACCACACCTCACCCATGACCGCAGCACATATGAAGAGATCGGATCACACCGAGCGCTGGTGAGGGAACGGTGGATCAGGAAGACAACTTGGCACCTGCGTTTGGGAGAGCTCGCTAGTCATTGCTGGCCAAGCTGAAACTGCACGCTTCCTTCTGCTGAGTGGCTCCGCTCTGGCTCGGTCCTCCGGGCTCCGAGGAGATGAGGTTTGAGCTGTTTGAGCGAGGAGCCTCTTCAGGGGGATTGGTCCTGGCAGCTCCCCCTGTTCATTCTACACGGTGCTTTGACCAGTCGCTTGCCTCCTGATGCAAGTGATGGAACCCCCGGCTGCCCCTGGTTTGGACAAGATCCTGAAGTCCCTGCTCCCCCAAATGAAAAGACGTAGACACGCTAGAGCCCGTGGGCTCCCAGGACCAGCTGCACCCTAAGGCTCATTGCTCTCAAGACGGTGGTGGGCACTTGCAGGGCCGTCGGCCTCTGCCTGCCCTCCTTTCCGGCAGAAGCAAGAGAGCCTTCTTCCCAGGGTGCCAAGGCTGTGAGATTCTTTCCGATTGGACCAGCTCGGGTCACCTGCAAACCCTGAACAGATCGCCACGGAGAACAGGTGGAACGTGGCGCTGGTTTAGTCCCTCTCACCTGTTCCTCTCGCTCCCTGACGTCTGGATCCTCAGATGAGCATCAAAGCTTTGGGGAACTGCTAAGGAGAGCAGGGCTCATTGGGGTGCTGCTCATCAAGGTCCATTATCCTGCATTTGTAGGTGGGGTGGTGGTGGAGGGGTGGTGGTGGAGGGGGCCAGGCCTTGGATACCCTTTCTTGTCCTTTCCAGTGAGCTGGACAGAGCGCCCGTTTTCTCTTCGGGAGAGTAATGTTTTTTCCGTCCACGTTGCCGTCTGAGTCTGGCAGTTCTCGGGCTATTTCTCCATCCTGGCTTCTGCCATCTGGTACACAGTTTTGTAGCGCTGTGGGCACTAGTGGTGAGCCTTCTGTCCCCACCCCCTCCATCACATTCTAGAATTCTCTGGGGGCGTTGGTGGGGGAACACACCCCTCATTAAGAGTCCAGTGTTAGCCAGGGCTCCCCATTGGAGCATGTCTTCAGCTGTGGCCCTGAGCACCCAATTATTTTTACTCTTCTCAAGCAAAGCGGGGGAGGCAGGTCAGCTTTGGATCTGGGCTTGGCTGGCAACGGAGACCTTCACCTTCCTGGCAGGGCTCGTGGGTGTCTGAAAGCCGAGGCACCCTCCACAGGAGCATGGAAAGACATCTGCCGGACAGGGGATTCACTGCTGCCCTGTGAGGGCAGGGTGTGCCTGCGTGCGCGCGCTTGCGTGCGTGCGTGCGAATGAGAAAGTGTGGGTGTGTGCAAGAATGCATGTGAACGAGGGTAAGTGTGTGAGAGTGTGTGTCTGTAAGACTGTGTATGAGAGTTATACATGAAAGTGCATGTTTGTGAGTGGGACTATGAGAGAGTGTGTTGTACATGAGAGTGCATGTGAAGGCGTATGTGGGACTGTCTGTACAAGATAGTGTGTTGTATGTCAGACTGTGTGTACGACAGAGTGTGTTGTATGTGAGGCTGTGTGTAAAAGATAGTGTATTGTATGTCAGACTGTGTATAGGAGAGTGTGTGTGAGGGTGTATGTGGGACTGTGTGTACAAGATAGTGTGTTGTATGTGAGACTGTGTGCAAGAGAGTGTGTTGTATGAGAGACTGCGTGGACAAGATAGCGGGTGTGAGAGAGTGTGTTGCGCATGAGCGTGTGTGAGGGAGAACGAGTGTGTGACCTGCGTTTCCCCACATGGCCTCAGCCCCTGTGTCAGAGCAGTTGTCTGTAGCAATCCTCTGTCATTGGTAGGCTATAATCCTCACGCCTGACCGCTCTGCTTTCGATTTCCCTCCCACACCTTCCCCTGAACTGTGTACGTTTGCATCCGGCTGCTCCCTAAACCTGCCCCCTGGGCGGCTCTCAGGCATTACGATGCTGACATGCCCAAACCAACTCCTGCCCGCTCCCCCCTCGCAGGCGCCTCTTGCCGGCTCCTCTTGGCAGCCCCGCTTTTCCATTGGTTCAGGCCAAACCCTTCCTGTCAGTCTTGATTTTTCCCCTTCC